TGGGTCGCCCCGCCTCCACCGGTCCCGCGGCCTCGGCGGGCTCCCCAAGTCGGCCAGCCCGAGTCTTCGCCGGCAAGCCGAGGCCTAGGCCCGGGCCGAGTCGCCCGCCCTGCCGCCCTTACCCGAGCTGCCCAAAGGCGTTGAGTGACGCCAGGCTGCCAGGCACGAAGTCTTCGGCGAGGCGTTCGGGATGCTGCCGGCAGCCCTCTTCCTTAGAACTCGTTCTGGCTTTCCAGTCCCTTGAGCAGATCCAGGCATTGTTTTCTAGTTTTCTGGTCCTTAAAAAAAAAAACAAAACGGTTACGCCCTCAGTGTCTACCATGAACTTGGGCTCTGGGGATTGATTAAGTCTCTCGAGTGGGAGAGACAGCCCTGTTGTAGGACACATAGGCTCAGCTGAGAACCTGGGATAACCAAGTTAAAGGATTGACTTTAAACAGTCATCATGCGCACACCTTACTCTTAAGTCCACACTCTAGACTAGAGCCCGAGGACTAGGAAATCAGGTACACAGAAAGAAATCAGTGTCATTCACACTTCTAAGAAGGATCTGGGACTAGAATTAGTGTCTCCTGACCCCATCCAATAGTTGCTTAGGATGAATAGTTGCTTAGGAGTCCAAAGGATGAACTCCGAAATCCATGGATGACCTAGAGAATGCTTAGCTATTACTTCTGCTGTCAACATGTCAGAATCCCAGCGTATTTTGATGATGGGAGCAAGGTGCTGGCGTTAATCCATTCTACAGGTAAGGGGAGAGGCTTTGCAGTCCAGTGATGCTGTACAAATGTGGACTTGATCACAGCTCTTCACTGGTTTCGACCTTGGGCAAAATGGAGTCACCTCCTTGGATTTGTTATTTGGAAAATGAGCAGCGTTAACAATACACAAGACCACAGAAGGATGAAGGGTGTGTCCCAGTAAAGTGCATGCTCACAAGATGCTCGCATTCTACCTAGGACTCCACCCTCCTCATCTTGCTTTCCCCCAGAGACTCCCTTTCCCAGAACATTCCCAGGATGCTACAAAGTAATGTTAAAGCAGGCAGGAAGGAGTATCAAAACCTTGATGGTGATCTTTATTCTGTCACTTTCTTATTTACTTATTTTTGGGGGTTGCTAGAAATAGAAGCCAGGGCTTCACACCTGCAGGACAAATATATCATCTGCCACTGAGCCTCAACCCAGCCCTATTTTCTTTTCTTCCAAGGTAAGGCCTTGCTGTATTTCCAGGGCTGATCTCTAACTCCTAGGCTACTTGATCCTCCCAGTCTGGTCTGTAAGTACTGGGACTTGGAGCTGTCTGCTATGATGCTCAACTGCCCCCCATTTTTTGTTTTTATTTTTTGAAGACTGGCTCTGTGTAGCTCCAGTAGCCTCGAACTTGTGATCTTCCTGCCTTAGCCTACCAAATAACACCATACCCAGCTACCTTCTCCTAAAGAGGAAGTGAAAAGCTAAAGAGGAAGGACTTTGCCAAGATTACATAGTAGACTGTAAGACATAGGCTCCACACTCCAAACCTGCTCTGCCAAAGCCACCTACCATAGAAATACCCAGGCCCACAGTAATCCTTGCTTGGCACTTTTTTTCCTTCTTTTTCTAGGTATTAACTGTCTGGCCTATGATGAAGCCATTATGGCTCAGCAGGACCGAATTCAGCAAGAGGTGAGGGGCTGGAGAAGGTTGGGAAGGCAGTGACTGAGGACTTCATGGTGGGGATGTATAGTCAGGGCCTGAGGCCTACTGTCTGTTTTGAAGCCCTCCCTCTCCAGTCTATATTAGGTGCTCCATGCTTTTATGGGCCACTGTGCCACTGAATGACCAGCCCAGAACCCTTTTGTAGGTGTTAGGCACGGGTTACTCAACCCCCTTGCCAGAACCTGATGGATCCCTGCCTCCTGCAGATTGCTGTGCAGAATCCTCTGGTGTCCGAACGTCTGGAACTCTCAGTCCTGTACAAGGAGTACGCTGAGGATGACAACATCTATCAACAGAAGATCAAGGTGGGATCCTGGCCAGAGGGGCAGGAGGAATCCTGTTTCAGCCCTGTGCTTTGCCAGGCCTAATCTTTGAGAGGGTAGGGTGTTGGGGGAACGGGACACACCTTTCGCTGCTAGTTTGGAGTGTGCAGCCTCTGGACTGAGCCCTCCGTTTACATCAGATTGCCACTCAGCAGCTGTCTTCTTGGCAGGTCCTTCAGTGTCTCTGAGCCCTGGGTGTCCTCATCTGTAAAATAGGGACAGTGAAAGCATCTGCTGTAGGGTGGCTGTAAGGTTGAGGTAGGTGTTGCTCGGGTGACAACTCAGTACCCAGCCAGGGGCCAAACTTGCTGGTGTTGGGATGGGTAGACAGGTCACATAGAGACCTATCATACAGTCTGTCTGGATCTTTGTGGAGGACAGACCCCTGTGTATGTCCCTGCTGCATCACTTAAACTGAAGCAGATTTCTTTACCAGCCACCCCAAAGGCTGGGAGCAGTGGAGGATGAATTGTGGCCCTGGTATGAAAGCAGTATTTAGTAGACAGCCTGAGGAGGTAAGAAATGGTGTACTTCAGTCTTCCTCTAAAGATCATAGGTGTTTATTTATGTCCTTTACTTGGAGCTGGGACCTTCAGGTGGCCAAGCAGGTAACCCAGTGAATGAAGCTGCCTGAGAAGTTAACTGGGAGGAAACCATAGCGTGAAAACAGGCATGGTAGGGTGTTGTAGGGAGAGGGCCACTTGTTCGTCCTGGCCGCCCAGCTAGCTTAGCCCCAAAATACCCACACACAAACTGTGTTCATTAAATCACTGCTTGACCTATTAGCTCTAACATCCTATTGGCTAACTCTTACACCTTGATTTAGGCCATTTCTATTAATCTGTGTATTGCCACATGGCAGTGGCTTACCAGATAAAATTCCCAACATGAGTCTCTGGCGGATCCATGGTGTCTCTCTCCGACTCTGCCTTCTTCCTCCCAGCATTCAGTTCTGTTTTTCCCCCTACCTGAGTTCTGCCCTATCAAAAGGCCAAGGCAGTTTCTTTACATTAACCAATGAAAGCAACACACAAACAGAAGAAACTCCTACAGTAGAGAATATCCATAGTTAATCCCCTGTTGTCAGAGAAGCCAGAATTCTTGAGTAAATGTTTGGTGGCTAATGAGAACTTGAGATGTTGTATAGGGCTGGAGTCCAGCTAGCTCAGTAGTAGCGTGAACCTAGTGTTTACAAGGCCCTAAGGTCTGTCCTTAGCACTCGGGAGGAATGTATGTGCTAATTAACCATTTTCAGCCTAGGTCAGCTGTGCCTAGTTTGAGATCTGTTCATACCTACTGCTCAGGGCTTTGGGGTTTCTTCAAAATACATGTGAGGACATAAAGGCCCTGATGTTTCTAAGGTCTTTGCTCCTTTTCAGTCTATGGGTCAGGTTCAGGGAAGATGTCGAACTCAGTGCTGATAGCGCTCAGCAGTAGGCTTTTCTTCTCCCTTGTGTCCAGTTAGTAGAGTGGTACCCCATCCAGGGCCACTTGTCCTGGTAGGCTGCCCTGAGAAACTAACAAGATAATCCTCAGGTTCTTCCTGCCATTGAATCAGTTAGCAAAGTTTTTGAATGTTTGAAGAGAGCTGTTGGCAGCAATGTACCTCAGCACACCTAACTTCCATTCTGTGTACTGTGCCCAGACCCTCCTCTTCTTCCTGGGTGGTAATGATAGAGCCAGGACTGGATGTGTACTTGGCCCCAGTGGATGAGCATTCTACAGGGTACCTGACTGTATGTGCCCCGGGAACTTATAGTAGTAGAGTGGCAGTGGTCATGTTACATCCACCAGGCAGGTACTGTGTCCCAGGCGCTAGGGATACTGCAGATACTGGGACTGAAACCCTGTCATCTTTAATCCTGGGAGAGAATGAGGCAGAAGGATCAAGGCCAGTCTGGGCTACATATCACAAACGCTGTCTCAATGCTGTAACACCCCCCTCCCACTCACACACAGTTTCGTTGTTGGAGTTGGTTAGTACTGTGGAGAGAGGATGGGGAGGGCTTGCATTTTAAATAGGGGTAATGGCTAAGAACCTCTGAAAAGGTGTATTTGGTGAACAGACAAGCAAGATGACAAGTGACAGGGCATCCAAGAGTCATGGGGGCTGAGGTGGTTTAAGACGAGGACATCTTTCTGGGAGGTGGTGGCACACACCTTTAATCCCAGCACTTGGGAGGCAGAGGCAGGTGGATCTCTGTGAGATCAGAGCCAGCCTGGTCTACAAAGCAGGTTCCAGAACAGCCAGAGCTGTTACACAGAGAAACCCTGTCTCAAAAAAGGAAGAAAGAAAGAAAAGAAGAGGACATCTGGGCAAGTGGAGGCCATCGTGAAAGCTAGTTTGGCCTGGGAATGAGTGTGTGAGTGCTGGCAAGGATGCAGGGAGGACAAGGACTTGTCTGTAAGGTTACTGTTGTTTCGGGGTGAGAATGGGCAGAGGCTAGTGAGGGGCTTTGGCAGTAGAACAGGAAGCAGGTGTGATAGACCAGTAGTGGGCTGTGTAATGATACATTTAGGTACTAGGTATGTTGAAGGAAGAGTCTAAGGAGTGTATTGTTTGGTGGATGTGTTAGGGAGAAGTGAGCCATCTGAGGTTGTGGTTCAAAGCACTGGATGGGTTAGTGCAACCCATCTGGGGCAGTGGAGCTGTCTGGGGCAGTGAAGAGAGGTATAGGGGAAGCAGGGCATCAAAGATGGAATTCTGGTTTTTTTGAAACAGGGTTTTTCTGTGTAACTCTGGCTGTCCTGGAACTCACGTTGTAGATCAGGTTGCCCTCCAACTCTGGAACTTGGAGATCTGCCTGTCTCTGCCTCCCAAGCACTGATATTAAAGGCGTTCACCACCACTGCTTGACTTTGAAGGTAGAACCTTATCTAGGTTTGGTGGCCTGGAATTTCAGTACTCAGAAGCCTGAGGTCAGAAGAGTACTGCAAGTTCAAAGCCAGCCTGAGCTGCAAAATGAGACCCTGTTTTAAAACCAAAATAAAAGGAAAATACTGTATCTGCAGACTAAGAGGTGAAGATACCATCAGGTCTCTGGTATTCACAGGGCAGGCAGGAAGCCCTGTGTTTGCATGTATTGTAACTGGCAGATGTCTTGAGGAAGAATACTGTGTGGTTTGGTGGGATCCCTGTCCTTTAGAATGGAGAAAGATGCAGGTTAGTCTGGGAGAGAGCAGTAAAGGAAAAGATGGGCTATAGCGTCACTGTCCAGAGGCTGGGCTGGGGAAGGCCGTGTTGACCTTGCTATAGTAGCTCTAGCTCGTTTTTGACCTTGGTTGGACAAAAACCTCCCATAGGAGTTTCTGTTTTTATTGGGAGACCTACCTGGATCTTATATACTATAAACTATAATCTATAAACTAGATTCATGTCCTTGAATCTGAGGGAGGACGTGAGCTGGTAGTGAGGATTGGGGTAGCTAAGTGGCAGATGTCAGGGTCATGTTCTCAGTGTGAAGGGACTCTCATTACTAAGCATTGCCTGAGGGTTGTCATCTGGCAGGTGTCTTCAGGAAGGATACTGTGTGGTTTGTTGGGAGCCCTACCCTTTATAATGGAGAAGGATGAGGGGTTGCCTGGGAGAGAGCAGGTAAAGTAGGAAGGGGCGGGCTGAAGAGAACAGGGTTGGGTGTGTCCAGGTGGCTGAGTGAGGCCTGCTTAACCAGCAGCACAAGGAGTCACTGCCCTAGTGACTAGGAGTCATGGGGATGTGCTTCACTTGGGAAGGTGGAAGAGGCTGAAGGCTGTGGGCAGGGACCGAGTGGATGGGAGAGCTGCTGTGTGTAACTGGAGCCCTGCTGGGCAAAGGAACCGCAGGCCTTCAGGTGGTGTGGCTTGCCCTGTCCCCTGCTTTGCCTTGCTTGGATTGAAAGACTTGAAGAGCTGCATTAGCCAAGGACAGATTTGATCATCTGCTTTTTTTTTCAAGATTTTTATTTATTATGTATACAATACAGTGTTCTGCCTCCATATGTGACTGCATGCCAGAAGAGGGCACCAGATCTCATTGTAGATGGTTGTGAGCCACCATGTGGTTGCTGGGAATTGAACTCAGGACCTCTGGAAGAGCAGTCAGCATCCTTAACCTCTGAGCCATCTCTCCAGCCCAGGTCATCTGCTTTTATAAGCAAACGGCCAGTAGCACCAAATGGCAAGCAGCTGGTGACTGTACAACCTGTTGGCACATAAGTGCACAGCTTCCAAAAGCTTCCAGGGAGGGCTCTGCTGCTATGGCCATTTCTTGGGCTGGCCCTGGCTTGGCTGGATGTTAAACTGGGCTGCTCTTCTGCAGGACCTCCACAAAAAGTACTCCTACATCCGGAAGACAAGGCCCGATGGCAACTGCTTCTACCGAGCATTTGGCTTCTCCCACTTGGAGGCACTCCTGGATGACAGCAAGGAGCTGCAGCGGTGAGGAGGGCGCCAGGGGCTCCAGGCCCCTCTTGCTGAACAGGATCCAGGCTTAGGCCAGCCATAAGCTGGGTTGTTTGGGATTTCCTTTTGAACTTAGTGGGTGGTCTTGTCTAGGCAGGACTGGGCTGGCTAGGCCTTTGCTTTGCTGGCTGAGAAGCCCATACTGGCCTCCCATCCCTTCCCAACACAGGTTCAAGGCTGTGTCTGCCAAGAGTAAAGAGGACCTGGTGTCCCAGGGCTTCACAGAGTTCACAATCGAGGACTTCCACAACACGGTGAGCCTAGCTGTCTCAGGCTGGGCTGGCAGAGAGGGTGGCTCTGTAGGCTGTGGTAAGGGTGGCCTCTCCTCACTCATTTTTCCTCATCTTAACTTTTGTCCCTGGGTGGGACAGTTCATGGACCTTATCGAGCAGGTGGAGAAGCAGACCTCGGTAGCTGACCTGCTGGCCTCCTTCAATGACCAGAGCACCTCAGACTACCTTGTGGTCTACCTGCGGCTGCTCACCTCGGGCTACCTGCAGCGGGAAAGCAAGTTCTTCGAGCACTTCATTGAGGGTGGCCGGACTGTTAAGGAGTTCTGCCAGCAGGTGCCACCTCCTCTTCAACTCTGCCCTGGGACCCTCCTTTTCTCTTTTGTTTAAGGGTGGGGCATGCCAGGGTGAGGTGTGGGACCTCGGGGAGGGGTTTGGGGACAGGCCTGACCTGCCCCTTTGCCACAGGAGGTAGAACCCATGTGCAAGGAGAGCGACCATATCCACATCATCGCCCTGGCCCAGGCCCTCAGCGTGTCCATCCAAGTAGAGTACATGGACCGTGGTGAGGGTGGCACCACCAACCCACACGTCTTCCCCGAGGGCTCCGAGCCCAAGGTCTACCTTCTCTACCGGCCTGGACACTACGATATCCTCTACAAATAGGGCCGGCTGGCCTGCTGCGCCATGCCTGCCCCCCCCTACCAGGCGCTAAACATGTACAGAGGGTTTTTGGTTTTTGGTTTGGTTTCTTTTTTTCTTTTTCTTTTCTTTTTTTTTTTTTTTTGTGGTTGTAAATGGTCATATTTTCACTCCTCCCTTATCCTGTCACACACCTTCCATGTTTTATTAAAGGGGATGCTGGTGGTGAGCCCGAGTGTGCGTTTCCCTGCTCTGCTGCTCCGCCCTACCTGCCCGCTGGCTGCTGTGTGCCTGGCTGTCCCTTTCCCCAGGGTGGGTCCCCTTGCTTTCTACCTGTCTACCCCCAAGCATTTCTGCCAAGAGAAGTTTGAGGAGGCTAGGCCTCCAGGTTCCTTGGAGTTCTGCTTTCTCCCCACCCCAAGGCCTCCTTGACTTTCCAGGGGTTTTCGTGGGAACTTTTGAAGTTCCTTGGGAACTTGGCTGGAGGTCTCTGGTCACCCATACTCAAAGCTGCCCCTTAGACTAGTTATAGATTTGCTGTTCTGGCCAGGGCCCCCAGGTCACAGCTTTCTGCCCACCTCCAGGGGTCTGCATGATTGAGGAGTCCTGAGATGAGAGGTTATGGGAGGAGGCTGACCCAGGTAGGTGGAGGAGCTATACATCCTCAGTGGGCCCCAGGAAGAGCTGGCCTGGTATGGGAGGAACATAAGGCCTCATGTCTAGGCAAGGCTTGCCTGTTAACTGTTCCCCAGAGTCCCCTGCCTGTGCTTGCTCTGCACCCTCTTTGCTTGAGCCATACCTGCATTACCTGCCTCTTTGCTTTCTCCTCCCACCCAGCACATGTGGGCTCTCAGCCCAAGCTGTGAGCTCCTTGGGGGCAGGCCCTCAATAAATGTGAAGTGCTGCCGCTGCCGCCTCTGCTATCTGGCCAATGCCTCACTCACCCACCTGGTGCACCCAGGGCTCTTGTGGCCTCTTGAAACAAAACCAGTGCTCAAGACACCATTCCTACCAAGGGCTCCCTTCCCCCTGGGCCCCAGTCAGACCCAGACCCCAGCACTCAGACAAGTGTGGCTGAATCAGACAGCTTTATTAAGAGGCTTCTGAAAGAGAGGGCAGGATACGCTGAGGGGAAGGACAACCCCGCGCTGGTCAGGCTGGAACAAGCAGTTGGCTTCCGAGACCTCTCTTAGAGTTGGGAGCGAGGTCCCACAGGCCCAGGTGGGTCTGAGGGTAGAGCAGATAGGTCAGAGGGAGTTGAGGACTTCCGAAAGCCCCTGGCCCCTCCCTAGCTTCACCACCCCACTGCACAGAGGTGGGCAACAGCAGGTTGAGCGGGTGTTACAGGCCAGGTTAGTGTAGGGCAGCCACTCCACACGGGGCCAGGCCCTGCTTACCAGTCCCATTCAGGGTGGGCTTCAGGAGCCTCAGGCTGGAAGGCAGAGGACAGTGAGAGCCGCCCCAGGGCTGTGGGGGAGGGGTAGGCTGGCCTGGGGAGGGTGGGGTCTGCTGGAGGGAAACAAGGGCACATACCTACTGGGAAGTAATGGGGCAGGCGCTCTCGGTAAATGCCCTCGTCCTTCTCGAGGAACACACAGATGATAAGCCGATCCACCTGTGCCAGGGACTGCTCAGCCTGGGTAGGGTCTCAACTGACCCCTCAGTCCTAGTACTGTGTGCTCCCTAAACCCACCTACCCTGGCAGGGTCTCAACTGCCTACTATGGGTGTACTGTCTGCAGGGGTTTGAGAATTAACAGTGCCCACCCATAACATAAAGAATTCAGGTGGGGTGGCAAGGTCGCCCCTTCCCGTTGGTGTCCCACAGAAGGAGTGGGCCTGTGGAGGGCAGGTATCTACTGGGCACAGCAGTCCAGAACTAAGTGCCCCTGCTCCCGCCTCGCTGCCAACCATTCTCTCACCTTGTCCTTGTGCTGCTCCAGCCACTCCCGCAGCGCAGCCAGCACTACCTCAGCTGCCGCCTCATTGGGGTACCCTGAGGGTGGGGTCTGGTGAGTCCAGATCTGTCCCTTCCCTGCCCACCTCAGTGAGGGGGACCCTCACTGCCCATGCTAGGCTTTGCTTTTTCAGACTTACCAAACACGCCTGTGGAGATGCATGGGAAAGCCTGGGGAAGGGAGGGCAAGGCAACATGGGGACTTGGTCACTAGGTGCCTCCCCGGCAACGCCCCCACCCATGACTCTTACCACCGAGCGCAGCCGGTGCTCCAGTAACAGGTCCAGGCTGCTCAAGTAGCAGCTGCGCAGCTCGGCCGCCTGGCTGGCACTGGGTTGGCCCACAGCGATGGGCCCCACTGTGTGGATGACGTCTAGGGAAGGGTGAACTTCAGTCAGACAGCCTAGGTTTTCCCTGCCCTCTTAGCAGAAGGATCCCACCCTTGCAGTACATGCTTATGCCTGACCAATCTGTACGCCACTGCTAAGTGGCGGAAGACTAACCCAGCCCCCTCGCTCTCCTGTCCGCTGCAGCTCCAGCCGCTTTCCACCTACTCTCTGGGTATCAGAGGGGCCAGGCCCTTACACTTAAAAGTTAAGGCACATTTAGTTGGGCGGTGGTGGCGAACGCCTTTAATCCCAGCACTCTGAGGCAGAAGCAGGCAGATCTCTGTGAGTTCGAGGTCACTCTGGTCTACAGAGTGAGTTCCAGGACAGCCAGAGATACACAGAAAAACCCTGTCTCAAAAAACTTCAAAAAAGGGCTGGAGAGATGGCTCAGCGGCTAAGAGCACTGATTGCTCTTCCAAAGGTCCTGAGTTCAATTCCCAGCAACCACATGGTGGCTCACAACCATCTGTAATGAGGTCTGGTGCCCTCTTCTGGCCTTCAGGCATACACAGAGACAAGACATTGTATACATAATAAATAAATATTTAAAAAAAAACTTAAAAAAAAAAAAGAAAAGAAATTTAAGACACACTCACACTTGGCCGGCAGCCTATAGCCGCAGGTGATCTTGGCTTTGCCGGTCTCACAGTTCTGCAGGGTGCGGCACTCATCCGTGAGCAGGGGTCCCGCAGCCCGGTGGATGCAACCGTCCACTGTGGGGAACCAAGAAAAATGAGCAGTTGGGTTCCTCTCATCCCTGACGGATCAAGCATGACACCCCAATCCCGAGAAACTCCAAGGCTATCTATTCCTTGGCCCACCCGTCATGACAATGTTCTCCAAGGCCTCTGGCTGCTCTTGTCACCCCTTTCACATCTAGGGAAACTGAGGTTCTAAGGAGCAGCAGCCGGCCCTGGAGTGAAAAGGCACGGGGCGACCGGCAGGGGGCGCGCCTGCCTCACTCTCTTGATTGTCTGTCCAGAAAGCACCCCCCTGAGGTCACCTGTCATCTCTGATCTAAGAATCATGTGGGATCCTGAATCCCACCTTTTGACAAGGTCTGCCAAACTTTGGGCCTCATTTAATCCCATCTGAGGAACCGAGGCCACCTAGTTCCAAAAGGCAGATCCAATCCGGGGCCTGAGCCTGGCTTTTCCAGCTGCTTCTCATTGGACCAGGTCTCACAGGTGTCTCTAGACTCTCAAACCCTTGTGAGGCAACTAGTATCCTGCTTAACTGAGGCCAGGCTTGGGCTTGTTTATCCAAGGGAAGCTCTTGGGGCTCTCTGTAACCCAGGGGACCCAGGCCCAGATAAACAACTCTCAATGCTTCGATATCCCAGAGACAGCAGAGGCCCAGAGGAAACTCTTCTACTGATTCAGCCAGGCACCATATAGCTTTGCCCAAGCACGCTGGGGCAAGTACTGGTTTGCCCCTGCTTGCCATAAATTTTCTCCTGCTTTACCATCATCTCAACTGCAAAATGGGGACAGTGGCCCCTGAGATGGCAGGGCTGATGAAACCCAGGCTTACTCCCAAGGAGCTCTGCTGCCTGGCGCCTGGCTACGCTAGCATCAGGCAAAAAAAAAAAAAACATTCTGGCTCCATTTTTACAGATTCCTAATGAGACCCTTGCTCCTTCCCCCATCCCTCTAACTTCTTGGTACAGATCTGGGGACACCAAATGAACACCACCCTCTTTCTTCTATTTTCTCTTGGGCCCTAAGGGGCCCAATTAAACCTAATTTTCAGCTTTCCTCAGAGCTGGCACTGGGTGGTTTTTCTCGGGTTGGGGGAGCCTGGGAGTGGCAAGGGCAGTGCCTTTCAGCCCCTTGCCCTCCTCTGCAGAGCCCGAGCTGAGAGTCCCTGCCCCAGAGAGCCTGTGTGCAGCCTGGAGTTCACAGGCATCACAATGTTCTGGGTGGGATGCCACAGAGGACCCAGCACAGTGCATGACAGCAGCGAAGGGAGCTGAGCGGCCTGAGGGATTCTGGCCACATCACTCCACTTCTTTGGTTCTAATAGTCGTGCCCGCCTCATAGGATGTTGGAAAAACCAATTTTGGGGGGTGGGGTAGTGCTGGAGATGGAGCCCAGGGCACACTAGCCACTGCTGAGCTACACCTCTACACCTCACCCCTAAGTAAGTTGCCCCCTTTTTTCCTTTTCCTTATTTTTTTGGGGGGGGAGCGGTTCAGAGACAGGGTTTCTCTTTGTAGCCCTGGATGTCCTGGTACTCACTCTGTTGACCAGGTTGGCCTCGAACTCAGAGATCCAGCTTTTTCTGCCTCCCAGTGCTGGAATTAAAGGCATGTGCCACCACCGTCTGGTTCTGTTTCCTATTTTATTTGTTGTGCTTTGTTTTTTCTTTTCCCCACAGTACATCATGGAGTTGAAGCTGGCCTCAGCTTTGCTAGGTGCTGAGGATGACCTTTAACTCCTGACCTTCCTGCCTCCACTCTGACTGCTGGGATTAAAGGTGTGTGCCACCACACCAACAATTCTTGTTACTCAGTTAAACTGTGTTGGGCTTGAGCGGAAACAAAGTGACTTAGCCCTTATTATAATATGACAGCATCAGGCTCACAGCATGCATGGGGAGTCCGCGGAGTCTGAGTGAGCACAGGGATCTGTACAGATAGTACTACTGGAGCCCAAAGGCCCTGCCTGTCAGTCTCACCCTCCTGGCACCCCACTATCTGCTACTTCAGTGTGAAGCCTCCTGCAGGTGACCTTAATTGGCTACAGGTCACTGGAAGCACTGCTGGGGAGCACTGCTGGGGAGCACTGTGTTTTAGCGACTTTACAGCTCCTGCTGGCGCAGGACAGGTCTGTAGTCTGGCCTTGGGGGCTGACTTGGGAGTGTGAGGGCACAGGGGGTGGGGGGACTGGCTCAGGAGCCGCCTACCAGCTTTTAGGGCTTAGACCACATGACTGTGACACTCTGAGTGCCTAGGGTAATGGTTCCCCAAAAGCAAAGATGAGGGACAGACCCTGACCACATCTGTGCTATTTCCCCCAAACAGACTGGTCCCGGACTCAAAGTCTCACTACCTGGTCCCTATCGCCCACGCCATCCCTCCCACATGTCAGCCTTCTTGACAGCCCACAGCAGTTTGCTCTTCACCTGGGCAGAGGGTGGTGGCTTGTGCCTTTAATCCCAACACTTGGGAAGCAGAGGCCAGTTAGAATAATGATAGAATGCTGTTTCAACAGACAAATATCAACAACAAACACCTAGGCCGATAGCTCAGTTCCCAGGTCAGCAGACAGCCTAGGTCTTCCCTGGCCATCCTGTGTCCACTTCCTGCCTACTAGGTCCAAGATGAATATTCCTTCATTGTGGTGGAGCCAGTCTGCCTCCCCTGCTCCCCACTGGACCTCCTTGCAGTAAGCATCACAGGGTGCTGAGCCAGTCCCATTGGTTGTCTTGTTGAGTCTCACCCCCTCCCCCGCTCAGGAGGTGCTACCAACCCCTTCTTATAGAAGAAACTGAGGCATAAATAGCAAAACCTGACTCAAGTCACACACTGGGCACTGGGCACAGAAGGTTCAGGGGCTCTCCTGGACCACAAAGTAGCTGTAGCTGCCTTTGCCACCCCAAAGCCCCCTACTTTCGGTGGGCAGGCCAGCATTTGCCTGCTTCTCCCAAACCCTTCCTGTCTCTACCCTGGCAGTGTGGCACCTATCCTCTCCCTGAATCAGCACATCGCCCAGCAGAGTGTCTGCCCCGGGGACTCTCATCTCTCTGGACTGTTCAGCTCACCCACCAAGGCTTTCTTAGGGACACCAGCTCTTCCCTGTCCACTCTGAGTTCTCCTGTTCTAGGCCTTTCTTCTGCTGCTGTCCTCTCTACACTGCACTTCAGCCCCTACCCCTTCTGTCTAGTCAGTTCCCCAAAGGCCATCCTCTGGGTAACTTCAGCTTGGGACCTTCAGAAGATGCCTCCCTTCCTGTCCCCACACAATTCTCTCTAGCAAGGACGGGGAGCAGAGCAGGGCTGGTAGGAGCTGTCCCGTGCCAGGGGCAGGGGCTGGAGAAGGAAGGACAGACTGGTCAGGGGCTAAAGCCAAGGCAGGCTGCAGTGGGACCACTCCAGTGTGGCACTGAGGACTGTTGGCTGCTATTTAGGGTGCTGTAATATTCATGAAGGGGAGATTAGATATTTAAATTTATTCAGCAATAAATGTGTCTCAGTGGGGGAGCATTCCTCATGCTAAACAAACAAGTGAGCAGGGGCTAATTAATTATTTACAGGAACAAGAGGAGTCAGTGGCCTAGGGGACACAGAGGGCAGCTCTGCCCCTGCCAAAGGGTCAGATAGTCCCATCCCTTCTGCCACTCTAGAGCTGACCCCTTTACATTCTCTTCCGGGATTTCTCTTTCCAGAAATTTAAACCAAAGATTGCTGATAGCTTTGGGCTAGTTATTCAACCTCTCTGAATCTCAGAGCCTAGGTGTCCAAAGACTTGTAGGAACATTGACTTAGGCTGGGGGTAGCCAGCAGGTGGGCAACCAAAAGCCAAGGGAGTCAACAACTTTCCAAGGTGTCACGGCTGGAAGTGGAGCAGAAACCAAGAACCCTATGACTAGGCTCTGTTGTAAAAGAAGTGGAGGCAAAGGTTCAGAGAGGCATAAGCCACTTTCTCAGAGTCACAGAGCAAGAGAGGATTCTGGGAGCTCTCACCCCTGCCCTGCCCATCCTGGGCTCCTGTGGACTCCCCATCAAAAGGGGAGAAGGGAGAGCCTGGAATGGGGGCCCACTTGGTAGTGACAGTAAATCCAGCCTGAGAGACACAAGCAAGGAGTTTTCCAAAGCCACGTCCCCTTCCCTGGCTTTTCCACTGTGTTTCCAGGGTAGAGTCTCCTCTCTGTGCCTCAGTTTCCTCAGCTGTCAGCACAGCTCTCCTTGCTTGGCGTGGGAGGAGGCAGCACCGGCACCTTTCTTTGTTAATCACACTGTCAGTGTTTGTAGGCGGGTGGCCCAGGTTCCGCTGTAGACCTCAAGGGGAGAAGCCTCCTTGCCAGGACAGTACCTTCTGCCTAGATCAGGCCTTTGGGGCAGCAGCTCTAGCCTAGACAGGAGCTGTGAAGGGGTGGGGCCCTCTGTCCAAGAAGGCACAGGGGACCTATCCCCATCTGGACATCCAGTCTTGCTTGGGCTCTGGCCTGGGGACAGCTCACAGCAGACACACCTTGGTGCGGCATAGATCCTGTGTGCTGACCGTTTTCCACTACCTTCTCAGGAGGAAAGCCTGGCTGAGCAGATGCAGAACCCAGTCTGCAAGAACTCTAAGGCAGATTTCTAAGCTGCTGACCTTTGGACTCCTATCCTCAAGAGGTCTATGGAGATCACTGGGGCCTTGAGCCCTTCTCTCCTGACTTGCCCCCACACTTTCTCCTTCCTTCTGGATAGACTTTGGAGACCAAGACCCTGATTTTGCCCAGTAAGAACCCACAGTGCTTGTCCTGTCTGGTCCTTCATTCTACAGACAGCCCCACACCAGTCTGAGCTCCAGAAGGGGCGTGGTGGGCCCAGGGAAGGACACATAGTCCAGTCTCCTGAGATTGCATCCTGGAGGTGCCTAGCGGGTGGGCGCCCTGGGGAGAAGACGGATGGACGACATCACTACGATGTGATCTGAAATTCATTACGGGGTGAGATCAGCTCCTTAAATGGGGATTTGAAAACATTAGGGCTTCATTATGTACAC